TGTTTGTTTGTTTGTTTGTTTGATTTATATCCCGCCCATCTGGTCTGGTTGACCACTCTGGGCGGCTACTACTATTAACTAATTATGCCAAATATGCATTAAGAACCACCTACTTACATCAGGACGTGGAGGAAGTCGTTCTCGTGGAAGTCTTTCACAATCGTACCGCTCATCAGACCACATTTCATTGCTTCGGTATGCCACTAAAAAAAAGCTTGATTAGTAAAAACTGGTATTTGGCAATTGGGAAAAAGCATTAGTATGAGGTATATTATCCTACAATCAATCAATCAATCTTTATTTGCAGTCTCCAGCCCAATAAAATACACAGATGTAATATTTAAAATAAATATTTAAAATAAATGGAAGCAATTAAAACATTTCAAGTTAGCTATTATAAGTTAATAAAATAGATTACGCAGACATTATTTTTATGACAGGGTTAGGCAGAAGTCAAAAATTGTCTTTCGTGTTCTTTGGGCAGAGAAAAGGAATTTGGCCACTGATTCAGTAGTTGTCTTGTTTGTGTCACTTAAATATTTTATACATCAAATCAGAGCTACCTGGAAAGGCAATCATTATACGCTTGACGAATTTGATAAGACTCATTTCTGTAAAGATTACACTCCAAAAGGACATGCTTCAAAGTTTCAATTTCCCTATCATTACAGGGAAAATTTGACAAAATTTATAACCAAGTGGTTGTTCTTAAAGTAGGTCATAAATGTACCAATCAGCTGTTTAAGGACTATTTTCGATAGTGACAAAAGAAAAACATCATCTGCATACAGCAGTAGGGGGTATTTGGTCTCTGCCAATATAGGAGGATGGAAGTCTGTTCCAAGACACCACCCAAGCAGATCTTTTAAATACAGATTAAATAATGTGGGGGCTAATATACAGCCCTGTCAAACCCCTTTATTAGCCTGAATAGGTTTGGTCAGGATTCCTTCTGTACCACATCTAACACGAAGTGTGGTACCCTGGTAAAGACATTTAATGAGCTATAGGAGTCTCTTACCTATAGAGGTTTTATATACCATATTTTTCACTCTATAAGATGCATCTGATGATAAGACGCACCTAATTAAATAATAATAATTTAAAAAAACCTCTGCCCCAGCTAGCTCATCATCTGGAAGCGCTCCCTGCCCTGGAAGCGGAGAAGGGCAGCGTGGTGGCAATGCGAAGCCAAAAAAGATGTCTCGATCGCCGGGTAGGTTGGGAGGGTTAAAAAAGACAACACTTGTTTTCTTTAAAATAAATAAGAATTTAAAAACAACTCCACCCCAGCCAGCTCATCATCCTGAAGCGCTCCCTGCCCGGGAAGAGGAGGAGAAGGTGGTGTTGGCGATGGCGGTGGGGGAATCTAGTATATGCTCCATAAGACACACATACTCCCCCCCCCCACTTCTCGGGGGTAAGTGCGTCTTATGAAGCGAAAAATATGGTAATTTTGACCATAGTATATTCCTTGGGACAGAATCAAAGGCTGATTTTAAGTCTATAAATGCCGTATAAAGCCCGTTACCATAAGAGGACATATATTTCTCTGCAAGATGGCTTATAATCATACAGTGGTCAATTTCTGATCTACCCTTTCTAAAGCCTATCTGTTCCTTCCCCAAAATATTTTCCTCCTCTATCAAAGTGAGTAGTCTTTGATTTAAATGATCGGAGTACAATTTGCCCAGCACAGAAAGTAGACTGGTTGGCCTATAACCTCTTTCTCCTTTCTTAAAGATAGGTATTATTATGGCTTTGGACCAAGTGGTGGGAAATTTGCCTGAGTTATTAATATGGGTAAACAAGTTTGCCAACAGAGGTGCCCACCAATCCAAGTTAGCCTTTAGCATTTCAGGGAGAATAGCATCTATTCCCGGGATCTTGCCTGATTTCATGCTTCTAATCAGGGTTTTTGTTTCAGTCATTGTGACCAGTCTCCATGGTGGAATGACATTTAAATCTATAGTTGGGAAGAAATCTATTGAGTACTCTTTAATATCCCCAAATAAAGTAAATATATAATATATATCCTACCAGTAATATAAAAGGTCTCCAAAACTGGTTCAACCTAATAATACTAGTATTTCTAGGAACAGAAAAGTTCAAATGTATATAATAGCAAGCTTATACCATAGAGTGTACTAATATCATACTAATATTGTGTTTTCTCTGGTGAGATAGTCCAGTCAGATGGTCTGGATTCTTCAATCTTCTAGCAACTTTCTGCAGCAGGTTTAGAAGCTGGAGAATGAGTTTTGCTCTCAAGCATAGGTCTTTTGGTTTCATTATCCTGTCGCGGCTTGACTTAAACTCAGTGGTAGATGTGCAAATACAGTGGTGCCCCGCATGACGACAATAATGCATTCTGTTAAAATTGCTGTACAACAAAATCGTCGTCATGCGAAAATAAAACCCCCATTGGAATGCATTGAAAACCGGTTAATGCGTTCCAATGGGGGAAATACCTGCTTGTGCAGCGAAGATCCTCCATAGGGCGGCCATTTTGTGATCCCTGTCTTGTGGAAATAGGTCCAGAAAACAGCAGGGAGCCATTTTGCGAACCGCCGATCGTTGTGCGAACAATCGGTTCGCAAAGCAGGGACCTAATCGTCGTTAAACTAAAAAATCCAGAGGAAACATCGTTTTGTGATCACTATAGCGATCGCAAAAAAGCATCGTCAAGCGATTTCATCGTTTAACAGGGTAAGCGTCTAGCGGGGCACCACTGTACAAGCACAAAACAGGCAGACCCTCAATTACTTTGGAGTTCTTGAAGAGTCTTGAGAATTCCACAGCCAGGTGTCTGCCTTAGGCCCCATTTGTCCGAAAATGAAGCAAATCTGTCTAAAGCTGCTTTAGATTTTGCAGCAATACTTAAAAAAAGTTAGGGGAAGGCAAAGCAGAGGACTCCGTTTGCTTACCATGCCTGATGTTCCTACACCGTGGAGTAGCTGCCTGATAGTATTTGCTCAGTAATGAGACTGTGAGGATGTATGGCTTTCATCCAAAGTTGAAAAGGCAAATACACTTCCACTAGCTTCTAGGAGCTTGGGAGTTCACAGCAGCCAGTCCACAGGGATCAGCAAGAGGAAAGTGGGAGCGCAAAGGCTCCCAACCCCCCTCTCTCCAACAAAGTCAGCAGATAAGGGACGAACCCAAGAAAAAGCAGAGACACCTCCAGAGTGCAATCGCCAAACAAGGGCCTGGCAGTAGTCCCAGATATAATAAGACTCAAGCTCTTCTATCTTCCTGCCTCACTAGCTGCTTGAAGGTCAGAACTTAAAGATATTCCCCCCTGCCCGTTTGAAACTCAGTTCCCTCTCTTCAAGACCAGGGTATTTATAATCCTTATCAGTTTGCTAGCAGAAGCAACACCTCCAGAACAAGTAAAGGTCAAATAGATAATGTCCACATTAAACTGCTCAGCTCCTCAACAAACATCCTTCTCAGAGGTGCACAGCTGGAAGTCAAGATTTCACAGCAGTATTTCACAATGAGGTAAGGGTTCTGCGCCCCCCCCAACTTCTAAGAACTTTTTTAAAAACATCTGTAGCATTCAGACAACTCAAAACTTAAAACAGAGCTTGAAAGAAATAAAAAGCAGCTCTATTAGAGCAAAAAGTGTAAAAAGCCACTTTCCCTCCCTGGTGTTATTTTTCTTCTGTTTTCTTTCCTAGGCTTCAGTTGTATAATACAGAGGCAACAAATATTTTCTAACGTCTCTGGGCAGCTCCAGCAGTCATCATCTCTGTGTTTGCTTTTGCCAAGGTTAACATTGTGCCTCCAGCCGGAAGGTAAAATAGCAGCCTCAATTATTTAAAAAGTAAAACCACATAAAATAAAAGTAAAATAAGGATAAAATCACTGCTGTTTAGCCACAAGTGATTCTGAGGAGAAGACGACAGCTTGACGGCAACTTGGAACACTCCTATTTACCATGTTACATTCAGTGTACACAGAACTCTTGTTTTATTAGAATAGCAATCGAACTGATTTTGGAAGACAGCAGTGTAACTGGAACCATCTACTGTACCGAGAGAGAGAGAGAGAGAGAGACTGCAAGACAGCATCTGTGTAACACCCAGAACAAGATCATGTAAGAGACCATGTGCATGAGAGAGATGGAGCAAAACCATCTGAGAAAGCATGAGGAAGTGTGGGTGGGTGTGACTGAGCAAGAAAGATTTTGAAGCAGCTAAGCTGCTACTTGGCTGCAGAGCCAGAGGTTGGGGATTTGATTCCCCACGGGGCCTCCAGGAGAGAAGTGCTAGGCTGCGTGGCCTTGGGCAAGCTGCACAGTCCCATGATATCCAAAGAAAAAGGAAATGGCACACCACTTCTAAATATTATCTACGTAGAAACCCCTGAAAGCTACTATGAGTTAAAATTGACTTGATAGAACAAAATCATCACCATGCTTTTTTTAAACTCCAAGCTGACTAAAGATGTAATACCATTTCTTGAAATCCATGTATGGATTTTCCTAACCAGAGGAATAAGATAAATGAGACAGGAACAATTGTTTTATTTCAGCTGTTTCCAGTACCAGAGTTTGTATCAAAATAACTATAGACCTCTTCAATATCTCTAAGGAATGTCCAAATTCTTTTCACTTTATCATTTTCTTTCTTTCTTCTTTTGGAACAAACCACCCTACTACACTGTCTAGTCTCTCCTTGCTTCCCAAATGGGAGAGTTGCTACTTTCTCATGGTTTACTATCAAAAAGTATTTTCTCTTGTTTCTGTTTTCCAAAACAGAAGCAGAATCTCAAAGTAATGATAACTATATGCAGTGACTACACGAATAAGCAAAAGTGATGAGAGTTCTGAAATGTGTTGTTACCAAATAGACCAACGTGTTGCCACTTGTATATTTTACAGGATAAACAAAAATTCTAGAGAAAGAAGTAACAGTCCAACTTTTTTCAGGGCCAGGCATTCCTTAGTCACATTAGTTTCAATTGAGTTAGATATATGTATTGATTAGGTAAAGGTTCCTCTTGACATTTAGTTTGGTCGGGTCCGACTTTAGGGGACGGTGCTCATCCCCGTCTCCAAGCCATAGAGCCAGCGTTTGTCCATAGACAGTTTCCATGATCACATGGCCAGCTCGATTAGACACGGAACGCCGTTACCTTCCCACCTATTTATCTACTTGCATTTACAATGCTTTCAAACTGCTAGGTTGAGAGGAGGTAGGAGAAGCGACGGGAGCTGACTCCATCGCGTGGATTCGATCTTATGACTGCTGGTCTTCTGACCTTGCAGCACAGAGTCTTCTGGGGTTTAACCCACAGCACCACCACGTCCCACACTGATTATATGACACTAAAAGATAGCTGAAAAATTAACACGTGTATTAGAGAGAAATCTTACTCCTGATCAGGTTGCATCATACAGTATTTACAAGTATTAAATTCCTTCATGGAGAAGCAGCATTTCCAATCCTGGAGAAGCAATATTTCCAATCCATTAATTTGACAGATTACTAATGATTCAATAAAGTATTGGACTGAGTATACTTAGTCCAGACGCCATGACATACAAGATAATTTTAACAATCACATACCGTTAAGTCAATTTGACATATAGTGACTCTTTTCAAGGTTTTCCAGATACAGAATACTCAGAAGCGGTTTACCATTCCCTTTTTCTGGGGATGTTCTGGGATTGTGTAGCTTGTCCAGGGCCACAAACTCTACTCCTAGGAGGCACAGTGGGGAATCAAACTCTGAACATCTGGCTCCGCAGCCAGATACATAAACCTCTGAGCTACCCAGGCAACTATTTAAGTGACTAAAATCCTGTTCTCTAAATTATGACTGCATAAGGATAATTACATCACCAGCAAAGGGAGATTGCTAGTAATTAAAGAATTCTGCTTTGGTCCCAAGATTCACATGCAATGAGAATGATTACAAACAAGTTCAACAAACTGTGGGGCAGAAGCAGGAACAACTCCCCCTTCTGGGGACATAATCACTTTTAACATAGGAGCAATTTGTGGAACAGGATGTTAGGTATTAAATGTACTTATAATTTTAAAATGAGAAAAGCCAACTTAAAGAGGGTGTACTTTTTTGTTTTTAACAAAATTAATTCCAATCCCCATATTGAGATACTATTTTAAAACACTACTTACTTTTGTGCTTACTTCAACACTGTTTTCAATCTTGGTCAATCAGAATATCTATATTTTAAAAACAAATATGTTTTTAAAAGCATGCCAATTAAAAAACAATGTTTAAAAATATTAGGTTATAGCTGAAGATTTGTATGCATAACAACACCCATAGGAGTCTTTCCACCCTCATTACATACTTTTTTTCCCTAACCAAAATGGAGACTATCCCAGGACCTTCTATAAGTCTATATACTATTGACTTCTTACTTGATCCAAACACTTCTCAATTCAAAAAGAACTGCTAGAACAGTTCTTTAAAATATATCAAGTACCTTGATCTAAGGGGGAAAATCCTACATGAAGCCCTGTATGATGAAGAGGAATACATTAAATGATTGTTACATTAGATTTTATTTATTTATTTATTTAAAATATTTAACTGCACCTTTCTTCTTAAAAAGAACCCAAGGCAGCTGACATCAGTTAAAGGAGATATTTAAAAGCTTAAAAACAGTAAGTACATAAATATTTAAAAAGCATCAAACTAATACCACACTAAAAACGATAAATGAAAACACCAAAAACACATTCAAAGCAACAAGGCACAGAAATCCATTTAAAAACCTCTCTCAGACAGTCACTATGGGAAAGGCTGCCTGAAAAGAAGGGTCTTTGACTGGAGAAAGAAAGCAAAAATGGGGCCAGCCTGTCCTCCAGTGGAAGAGAATTCCAGATTCTAGGAGCAGCAACAGAGAAGGCCCTCTTCCACCTCTCATAATAAGATAAAGTCTTCCTTTCCTGAGCTTAAGACCTGGGGAAGCTCATAAAGGGAGATGTGGTCCTTTAGACAGCTTGCATCCAAGTCATTTAGGGCTTTATAGTTTAAAACTAGCACCCTGAATTGTGCCCCGATCAGATCAGTAAGCACAAGAGCTGATGTAACCGGGGAGTTATGTGATCCTTATAACCAGCCCCAGTTAACCATCTGGTTGCAGCATTTCCGACCCACTGAAGTTTCCAAACACTTTCCAAAAGCAGCCCCAAGTAGAGTGAGGCTACCTTTGGAAAGTAATCCAGTCAGGATGTTACTAAAGCATGTGTCACTGTGGCCAAATCAGACATATTGAGGATTCAGCATACAGCTGGAATATTAGCTTTAACTGCACAAAAGCATTTCTGCCCACAGCTAATGGACTCTCACATAAGCAAATGACAGGAGGGTGGGGAGAGAGGGGTCCTACTGCCACAATGATGGTACAAGAAAACTACAGGAGGAAGAGCGTAATTTGGCTAAACTTGGGCAAAGTGGGGAAATAAGAGTCCTGCAGTTTAAGAATTCCTTCCCCTTTTTGCTAGTGATTCACTGATTAATGTTGCCCACTGTGTTTGGAAAAGTTATTAGCTCATATCTCTTTGTACACACTATAGATGTCAGTATGATTGAAAGCAAAGCATGGCAGGAAAATAACATCCATAGAATAAATAAATATTTAGATGCAAATTTAATTTACAGCATAATCTTACAGAATCAAAATTTAGTGAGCTAAAGGTATGCTGAATCCAAACAAGCCCATTTTGGAAATTATTTAGAATTACCTTTGGCTAACTTTGCACTGTGGCAATGCCCTTAGGATGGAACAGCTTTGAATATGGCACAGCTAATCTCTTATTTCAGCAAATGTCAAGACCTTAGTGACCAATTCTCCAGCAGTCAATAGATCTTGAAGGTCTGTACTTCTGTTCATTCAAAGGAGATTTCTGGTGTCAGAAGAGCCTATGGCTTATTACTAACTAATCCAACCAACACAACAAGTATGTCGGGACTTCTACTACACTATTCTTTGAAATGTATGTGGATCTCCTTAGCTATTTAACGTCTGGAGGGGGGGAGTAAGGAAATTTTTTAAAAAACTCTTTTTAACCTTGCCTCTCATTTTTCCCTTCCATAAAATCCTGCTATAAATCTGCACTTTGTGTCTAAAATCAAGATGGCATTAAAAGGGATACCATAACAACAAAAGAGGTAGATCAAAATACATAAGTTCTGTTTCTTCACCACCACTGCCACCCCTGGACTGACACATTTCACTAATATATGGTAAATAGCAGAATGGCAGCTACAGTACTGGGAACATGGATCAGCATTTATCATTTTAATCTGCCTTTTTTTTCACGAGATGCCCGAAGATGAGCATAAAAAAAACATCAAAATATTAACACAAAAAGTATAGTCAAAGCCACCAACTTATTTTAAGATATTTTAAGTAAGACAATATAGCAATTCACCGCTATTTAAAAACACATTATTCGTGCTCCCTGAAGAGGAATAAAACTACTTCTCTTCTACAACTTTCCGAGCCCTCATCCCTCGCCTCCTTCCCTACATTACCAAATCGCTCCAGGAACCCGCTCAAGTAAATGAGAGAGAAAGGGCTGACACGTGTCCGGTGCACAGCGGCGTGTCAGGAAAAACAACTGACACGTAGTTCTGCACCGGGGGGCTCAAGGCTCCCACCGGGCCAGAGTAGCCGCGGAAAGGCTCCCAAGGGCCGCCCTATCCCACCGCCTCAACCCAGCCAAAATCCTCCAGCCTCTCCGAAGAGATTAACTGCGGGCGAGGCAGCCGAAAGCCAAACCCGGAACACGCGGCGTGCGCGCGCGCGCGCGTACCCACCAACCTCCCGGCTCGTGACCCAAGAGGCGGAGCCACCGGGACCGACGGGCCCGAGGCTCCCACGCGCTCCGATTCCCCGCAAAACTTCCAGCGAACTCACCCGCCGCGAATCACAGTGCCGCGCCGCGTTCTCAGCCGATGCACTTCCGGCGCCCTCGATGACGCCACCGGAAGTACACTGCACTGCCGTTCCTCTTCCGCTCGCTTTCCATAGAGACGGGCGGTCTTCATTTTTCGCCGCGGGAGTACAACGGGCGAAATTGTTGAGTGCTTCCGTATCAGACAGCGGTGTAAACACGGGAGCCAGAGAGGAGGAATTTCTGCTCCTTATATAGATCGATAACGACCGTTCCTTTGTATAAGGAGCTTCGTTTCCTTGCCCAAGAGGAGGGGGTTCGGGTAACGTCATCTGCAAGGCGACGGGCGTCTTAAACCTAGACAGGAGGCGGGACAGAAGGGTCCGACCAGAAGGCAAGCGGGATGGCCTGGTTCGGGTCCGACTGAGTGTCTCTTTCCCGGTAAGGTGAGTAAAGCTTGGCGCTGGGTCGCCCTTGCCGTGCGTTTGGCCGGAAAGCTTGGCTCTGGTGACTGTCAAGCCTAAGGTCATTACGCTTCAGGCCCAAATCAATAGAGAAGTGATGCCGTAGCTCTTGGGGTGTCTTTCTCTTTTAGCAGAATCAGGGGTTAATCTTTTCCAAAAAATAAAATAAAATAAAATTTCTGGTTGTCTTTTTCTGTGGAATATACAAACGCCAAGAACGTGTCCTAGTACAAAAGCTGCAGCTCTGTCTGCGTTTTATTGGGAATGTTCCCTTGGAAAGGGACGTCGTGGCGCTGCGGGCTAAACCGCAGAAGCCTGTGCTGCAGGGTCAGAAGACCAAGCAGTCGTAAGTTCGAATCCACGCGATGGAGTGAGCTCCCGTCGCTTGTCCCAGCTCCCGCCAACCTAGCGGTTCGAAAGCATGCAAATGTGAGTAGATCAATAGGGACCACCTCGGTGGGAATGTAACAGCATTCTGTGTCTAGTCGCGCTGGCCATGTGACCACGGAAGATTGTCTTCGGACAAACTATGGCTTGGAAATGGGGATGAGCGCCGCCCCCTAGAGTTGGACACAACTGGACAAATTGTCAAGGGGCGCCTTTTATTGGGAATGTTCCCTTGGAAAAGTGCTCTTAAGTGCTGAGGAGGCGTCCTGTCATTGGGCAGTAATTGGACTTCTCTTGGAAAAGTGCTCTAAGTGCTGAGGAGGCATCCTGTCATTGGGCAGTAATTGGACTTCTCAGAGCATTGGTGGGTGGGTGTCCAATATAGGTTATCTGGTAGTTTGGCAGGTAGGTTCTCACTTATAGCTTCGGTGGTGGAAACGTGAGAAGTTGACCACTGTTTTTGCTGCTGCTTGTGCAGAGGCCAGAATATTACCAAGCAAAGCAGTTTCCTGGTTCGCCACAAGACTGTATAGAAAACTCCCTTACAAATTTATCTAGTGTTCTTGAAAGACCTGATCTTGTATTTAAACCTCTGTATACGTATTGGCATGCACTAATATAGTTCACTTTTAACTGTGTCTTTTTTTCATGGCCTCACCCTGATAAACGACCATTTTGAGATCAGTGACAGTGTCCAGGGAGACTCAAAATATTCTGACATTGGCTTTTTTGTCTTTTCATTTCTGATAACACAGCACAAATAGCCAAAATTAAGTTTGCTTTTGGGTGAGACCTTATTTTCTTTCTCTCTGCAGAAAAAATGAGTGGAGGCTTGGCACCAAGCAAAAGTACAGTTTATGTGTCCAATTTGCCCTTCTCACTGACAAACAATGACTTATACAGGGTAAGACAGTGTGCTGTGTAATGGAATGTAAGCATCACATTTTATCTGCTTATATTCAGTGAGATACATCTCATTCTTTAAGTGTAAGCATCACATTTTATCAGACTGCTCATATTCAGTGAGATACATCTCATTCTTTAACAGTAAGTATTTTTGTTGTTTTGAACCTGTAACTAAACTTAATAGCTACATGCATTTTTATGTCTTTCCAGATTTTTTCGAAGTATGGCAAAGTAGTTAAGTGAGTATGATGACATTTATTGCCTAATTGTTCTGAAAGAATTCTGTGTTTTATTATGCCAGTAAGAGAGATGTTCATTTGCAGTTCTGGTGTATCGTGTATTTTCAGACTATCTGCATAAGTTTCACCTAGCTAGCAAAGAATATACTGTCCAACCCATGATTGAGTGAATCAAATACTGTATTATGCTCAAAGTTGTGGCTTTCTTATAATTGGTCACTGTTTGTCAGTGACACTTCTGACCTGTTATATTTATAGTCTAGAGTTGTATAGTTTAATTATGTTTAAAATGTGGAGTATTGCTTATTTTGTGAACTGTGTTATAGTGCTGAAGTAGTTAGATGTAAAGCTAGGCAGCCTGTAATGTTCACTTTTAGTTATTTATTCTGTGCCTGGAGTAAGCAGATTTCAGGCTTGTAGGGCCTACTTTATTTTTTATTAGAAGCTTAAATGTGCTTACCAGAGACAGGTGCAAATGGCAAGAATTCTTGGCCCAGTAATCTTATTTCTGAATAGGAATGTTTGTTATTTTTATCCTATATGAGGAAAAATACTGAAAGATCATAGATTTATGAAAGTGGATAATAACACACGTAGTAGTTACCTGAAAATTTTTGTCTTGCTAGAAAAATTCTTCCTACATTTTCTTCTCAGTAGTTTCAAGTGGAAATCTTGATCACCTTTTAATTAGAATGTCCGAGACTTCTTATAGAATGCTACTATCTTATCACACTGAGAATTATATGTTGTAATGGTCTGTGACTCTTCCTTACACCTTTTGTTCCTTCATTATTTGTTCTCCATCACTTTGTGTGGATTCTTTTGTAATCCACATATTTAGGGAAATCCTTTTTTTTCTAGACAAGGTACAGGAAAAAAGGATTTTCCTAAATATATGGAATCCTTGTATGTCCTGGAAAGGAAAATATAGTAACTTTGGTTTATGATCTCATAGCCTTTTATGGTTTGGAAGAATGTTGTGTCACTTCCTAACCACAAAGAGCCCCAGCAGTTGCCCTAGATTTTGGCAGCAACTGTAGTGGTATTGAATCTGACAGTCCCCACTGAATTGTTGTGCAACAGATTTGGTGATGGTATGGTCTCCATTGGGTTTTCAAGGACCTTTCAAATCCTTTCAAGCTATCCTTGCTGTGTGCTTCAATAGTGTCTGAGCTATATCCTTCCTGTTCTGGAGTTTTCTATTTTAAAAAAAAATGTTATCAGAACCCAAACAGTTCTAAAAAGTACAGAGTCACAGTGAATGATAGGTGAAAAAATACTGCTCTTCATTCATGTGATAATTTGGTTGTTTCCTAGAGTTACTATTATGAAAGATAAAGACACACGAAGGAGTAAAGGAGTTGCATTTATTTTGTTCTTGGATAAAGAATCAGCACAGAACTGTTCTCGAGCCCTTAACAATAAACAGGTATGTGAGAACATAGTATTGTAGGGAAGGTATTGAGACACTCAGAATGGTAAAATCTGGCTTTTTACTCTTCTCATTTAGTTGTTTGGAAGAGTGATAAAAGCAAGCATTGCTATTGATAATGGAAGAGCTGCAGAATTCATCCGGAGGCGAAACTACTATGACAAATCCAAGTGCTATGAATGTGGAGTGAGTGAATTAAAACTATGCTTTTGATCTTTTGCTTTATCTGGTCTATTTCAAAGCATAGCCTTGCCACTTTGAAACTTGATAGCTTATTTTCATAATTATTTTTCAGCACTAAATAACATGTTTGAAAAGACGGTTTGTTACTATAGTCACCAGAACTAACTGCTTGTTTTCCTACAATGCTTTTGATGTCAGGCTTTTTAAGGCAGTTGTTCTTAACCTAGGATACTTAGGCATGGTTGCACTTTATTTCTCAGCAGCTTCAGCCACCATTGTAGATGAAAGGATGTAGGGACTAATAGGGCTGCTACCTTAAGGTGTTCAGAATCTGTTGCAAGTACCATAGTTTCTTTTTGCTTCAGAACAGAACTTTTTAGTTCTGATATCAAGGTAACTGATATCTAGCTTGACCTACGGTTATTTGCATGTTAATTCTCCAAGATTTTTTCTTCTTTTTCTATGTGTTACATTCACTTTTTCAAGAGTGTGGAATTTCCCTTACTTTTCCTTAAGGAAACAGGACATTTATACTATGCCTGTCCTAAGAATATGCTTGGAGAACGTGAGCCACCCAAAAAGAAAGAAAAGAAGAAAAAGAAAAAAATTATTGAGCCAGAAGAAGAACTGTAAGTGCATTCATATGCATGTATCTGCTTCCTTACTCCTACTTTTTCTGGCAAGTGCACACAGTGTGGAGTAATTACAGGATTTCCCCCCTTTTTTGTATGCCATTCAGTGAAGAAGAACAAGAGAGTGAAGATGAGGGAGAAGACCCTGTCCTTGACAGCCTCAGTCAAGCCATAGCTTTCCAGGTATTAAGATATGTATTTGTTACTTGTTGCTTTTTTTTAAAAAAAGCTCAGGTAGAGAAATAGAATTTGCAGGAATGTTTTGTTCTACTGGCTTCTGTTCAACACATTAATTGCTATTTTGAATGTAAAGCTTTGTTTTGATCTTTAATGGAGTTCTGCATATTTGCAGTGCACACATCTGGGCTGAAAAGTGCTTGGGTACATTTTGACATTTCGGGTTGTCTAAATCTTCCCTGCATCTGATTATAGTTCCTAGAGATGCAGGGAAGATTTAGACAACCCAAGATGTCAAAATATACTCAAGTACTTTTCAGCAGGTTCAAACAGTATTCTGGGACAGCTTGTTAAAATCTGATTACAGTGTTTGCCATGAAGAAGGGATGGGTAACTTTGGCTTATCGGTCTCCTGCTCCAACCTGCAGGGCCTCCTGCTGCGTAGAAGGTACAGAGAGGCCAATTTGAGGTGCTTTCCTTCAGCTGCTAGTTTGATCTTCATTGCTCTGCTGCTCTTCCCTAGTCAGCACTTAAGAGGAGGAATCTCATGATTTTAGGAAAGGCTTCAGGGTGAGGCCCCACCCATTCATTTCTCAAACCTTTGGGATCTTCTAGCTTTGTTGTAAATGATCAGGAAGCAAGAAGCAGTCCTCTCACTTTAGTTAAATGGTACAGCTGTAATATCACTGATTTGGGCCAAAGATCTTATGTGAAGTCCTTTGTATCTCCAGTGAAAGGCATCGGGACCAAAGACATTTGGTTCACAGAGAGAAGAATATGTATCAGTAGCATTGCTAACCATGAAAGCAGTATCAATTGTGTCCATAAAAGGTTCTCTTATTTTGAAGAAACAAACCTATAGGATGTCAGCACTTGCTAATTTTCTTACCTCCTTCTTGCCTCTGTTATTTATAATGGAAGTTTGTTCAAATGCTATGCTGCAGTCTTACTACTTGAGCTGAATGAGATCAGAAGAGTGAATATAAAAGTGACATAATAAAAGATTTTTTTTTGTATATAGCATGAGTAACCAGTAACCAGTCCTGTAGTATAAATACTGGCTTTTCACTCACAGAAGCAAAATGTCCTTCTAATTTCCATTGTGTTTGAATCAAGGATTTGAGCCATTTTAAAGAATATGTACTTTTCATTTTGGATGCATTTTGTTCACATCATCCACAATAGCTATCTGGTGAACTGAAAACATTCATTTAGTTATGAAATGTGTTACCAGTTTAGCCTACTCCACTTCAGATACTACTAAGTTGGAGAAGATCTGACCATATCCATTATGATGGGAACCAGATAAGCCCCATTGTAATGTTTGCTTCTGCTGCTTGTCGTCCTGTTACTTTTCCAGTGGCAACTGTACAAGTCTAATAGTAGTTGTAAATGCCAAGGCAATGGTAGGGCACTGAGGAATATAGCAAGGGCAGTTCCTTGGTTGAAATAGAATAATTTGTCTGTGCGTATGCATATACATAAAGTTGAGAATCAGTCCAGGGTCAGACATTCTAGTTTCTGATGGGATCCATCCCAGAACTGACTTCCATTCCCATGGTCTTTCATGGGGGATGGGGGTGGAGGAAGGAATACTCCCCATCCTGATCTTGCTGGAAGAGAGGTAAGAACTGACTTCCATTCCCATGGTCATGGGGGGTGGGGGTGGAGGAAGGAATATTCCCCATCCTGATCTTGCTGGAAGAGAGGTAAAACGTTCTCTGCACTCCTTCCTCCAGTGTGCAAAGTGCTATCTGTAATAGGACATCTGAAGAAAGGAATAGGGAACCTTCTGGCTACCCTCTCCCCTAGTAGATCCCATTGTTGTTTAGTCATTATGGTCCAGCTCTCACTTCCATATATTGCTACTGGAAAAACCATAGCTTTGAATATGTGGACCTCTGTCGGCAAGGTGATGTCTCTGCTTTTTTAAGATACTGTCTAGATTTGTCATCACTTTCCTCCAGTCCAGTCCTTTGCATGATATATTCTGCATATGTCAAATAAGGAGGGAGACAATATACCTCCTTGCCGTACTCCTTTCCCAATTTTGAACCAATCAGTTGTTCCATATCCAGTTCTAACTGTTGCTTCCTGTCCCACATATAGATTTCTCAGGAGACAAATAAGGTGGTCAGGCACTCCTATTTCTTTAAGAACTTCCCATAGTTTGCTGTGGTCCACACAGTCAAAGGCTTTTGCGTAGTCAATGAAGCAGAAGTTTTTCTGGAACTCTCAGGCTTTCTCCATAATCCAGCGCATGTTAGCAATTTGGTCTCTAGTTCCTCTGCCCCTTCAAAATCCAGCTTATACTTCTGGGAGTTCTTGGTCCAAATACTGCTGAAGCCTACCTTGTAGGATTTTGAGCATAACCTTGCTAGTGTGTGAACTGAGTGCAATTGTACGGTAGTTTGAGCATTCTTTGGCACTGCCCTTCTTTGGAATTGGGATGTAGAATAATCTTTTCCAGTCCTCTGGCCACTGTTGAGTTTTCCAAACTTGCTAGCATATTGAATGTAGTACCTTAACAGCATCATATGTTAAGATTTTAAATAGTTCAACTAGAATGCCATCACCTCCACTGGCCTTGTTGTTAGCCTTGCTTTCTAAGGCCCACTTGACTTCACTATCTAGGATGTCTGGCTCAAGGTCAGCAACCGTACTATATGGGTTGTCCGAGACATCCAGATCTTTCTGGTATAATTCCTCACAGTTTCCAATTGATAGAGAAATATACCCGTATTGAGCAAGATTTGCCTTCCGTGTGTTATTCTTGAGTGACAGCGCCTGAGCCTTGTGACGCTGCCAGCCATGTTGGCCTGCCTCCATCGAATGCAGAACCCGCCCAACCAGCACGTGGCATGCCTGAGCAAGTCCCTGGAGCCATGCAATTGTCCAGGGTGCATGGAGCTGCCACTGCCACCCCAATGATGATGACCCCCCATGAGGGAGGAGGAGCCACTGCCAAGGGGGAAAAGCTGGGCTGTCGTTGTCCTTGTCTGAGGGGAAGGAAAAGGAGGAGGAGGTGCCACCATCATCCATGCCGTGGGGGAGCAGACCGGGTAGGTAGTGCTCATCAGCCTTCGAAGGCAGCCCGTCTAGGAGAAGGAAAACTAAACTATGATTCCTCCACTGCCTTGTGGCCATATCCACTGATGAAAAAACCTTCAGGAGTTAACCTTGAGGCAAAATCTAGAGCCAGAGTCCCGGAGGCAGTTCGTGTCATTCTGCCAACTCCTACAACGTCGCTGGAACCAGTTATATTGGCTCTAACCCTTCCACTGGACTATTTCAGTGACATGGAGAGGGGGGATGTGCTGCTTCGGTAACAGCCTATTCTCCAAATTATTTTACCCATAAAAAACCTTCAGGAGTTAACCTTGAGGCAAAATCTAGAGCCAGAGTCCCGGAGGCAGTTCGTGTCATTCTGCCAACTCCTACAACGTCGCTGGAACCAGTTATATTGGCTCTAACCCTTCCACTGGACTATTTCAGTGACATGGAGAGGGGGGATGTGCTGCTTCGGTAACAGCCTATTCTCCAAATTATTTTACCCATGCTCTCCAAATCCTCCATACAGAGCACGTACCTGACTAGCCCAGTGGTTTTCCCTACTTTCTTCA